ATCATCATCATCATCCTCATCATCATCACCATCATCATCATCATCCTCATCATCATCACCATCATCATCATCACCATCATCATCATCACCATCCTCATCATCAACACCATCACCATCATCATCACCACCATCCTCATCATCACCACCATCATCATCACCATCATCATCACCACCACCATCCTCATCATCCCCACCATCACCATCCTCATCACCATCACTATCATCACCACCATCATCATCACCACCATCATTAACATCATCACCACCTCCACAATCAACATTGTCACCATCATCATTACCACCACCACCATCTTTCTCTGCGGGTACCAGGCTCCCACTATTCATGCCCCCACCACATGACACCAGATGAGGCCTGGAGATGTTCCTAAGGCAGGGATCTAAAAATATTTTGAGTAAATGAGAACATCTTTGCTCCTGTTACAAGGATAAATTTAGGATAACATAATATAAACTCCAAGGAATCAGCAGAGGATCTGTTTCCAGACCATCTTAATAGCAGGGAAGAAAATAGTGTGTTGGTCCCAGAGCCAAGCAGCTCTTCTCTAGCTGGTAGAGCATCACTCTTGCCACTTCTTTCCTTACCCACACTGGGAAGGCTGCCTCCATGACTGCATGTCCACAGTCCATCTCTTTCCTTCCACCCTCTCTGGATGGAGGTGGCGGGGGATGCATGGTAAGGGCGGCACAGAGCTTTGAGTCTGCAACATACTTGGTGGCAGAGATTCCAGTTATGTATGTGTACTATCACTGGATCTAAAACCAGGTCCTTACCCACAAATTTTGCTCACAAGACTTTCAAATGTAGGTTCCCTGTACTGGGTGATCACAGACCATAATGTAAAGTTAGTGAATTGTTTCCAGATCTATGCAAAGATGTGAGCTGCCAGTGACACTGTCCCCCGAAGTCCAAGACAAAGACACTGAGTGAGTCCACCTGTCTTCCATTCCTCCTGTCCCAGGGAGCTTATGAGTAGGTGCAGTCAGCCAAAACATACTTGAAAACCTTAAAAATGTCGGGCTGGCCCGTGGCTCACTTGGGAGAGTGTGGTGCTGATAACACCAAGGCCCCAGGTTCGGATCCCATATAGGGATGGCCGGTTCGCTCACTGGCTGAGCGTGGTGCTGACAACACCAAGTCAAGGGTTAAGATCCCCTTACCGGTCATCTTTAAAAAAAAAAAAAAACCTTAAAAATGTCATGTCATTTGACCCAGAAATCCCACTCCTAGAAATCTTTTCCTAAGAAAACCATGGATGCTCAAAAAAATTAACTATAAGGATGTTTATCAGAGTGGTTTATACATAGTGAAAAATTGAGAGCAAGCCAAATGCTCATCTTGCATGAGGGGATGGGGTGGGTCCAATTACAGCTCATCAGCAAGATGGGAGGCCACACAGTTGCCAGCCCCAGAGAGGAGGAAGCTGTGTTAGTGACACGAGGCGATGTTCGCAATATATCAAGTGGGAAAAAGTATGTTATCAACTTCAACAATACTATTCTTGCAAACAAAAAAGTTTATAAATGCTTAGAAAAAAGACTGGAAAAGATACACAAAGTCCTACTTACACCCCCGTCCCCCAATTTTTATTTAGAAAGAATTGGCTGGCTTTCTTAAAAGCTCCTTAATTGCCCAAAAGGCAGTCAGCCACCCTGCCCCACTGGCCCGTGAGACAAGGGACCTGACCACACAGCTGGCAGGAGGCAGGCAAGGACTCCAGGCCTGGCTGCTACGAGACTCCTCCACCTGCATGGTCACCCGTGGTCCCACTGTGTCCTTGCCACCACCCCAGAGAGAAGGGTGCACCAGGGGCCCTTACAGCAGCTCTCTTCCTCTAGCTGCTCCGATTATCAGAACTCCCTGTCTTGGACACACAAAGGGGTATGCCCCACAGGCCTGCACCCCGCCCTGCTGTGCTAGCCCTGGAGAGGAGTGTGGTGGAAGGGCCCAGGGCCCAGTGTCCTGCTCTTAGCCCTGTGTCACCTTGGGACAGTCCCTACCCTCTCTGGGCCTGGCTCCCTTTTGGTAAAACTGGTGACCCCTCACTGAGAAGCCCTGTGTCCCCCAGAGAGGTGGCCTGAGTTCAAATCCTCTTGGAAACTGTGTGACCTTGGCTAGTCTGGAGGTGCCCTGAACTTCACTGCCTTTGGCTGTAAGATTGAGGTCATAGTCCCTACTTTGTAGGGTTGACAGGAGACGAATTGGGACCTGGCACGCAGCATGCCGCAAGTAAATGGTAGGTGGCAGCAGTGTTGCTGGAGTAAAAACTAGCGTTCCTCCCCTGTGAGGTAAGAGGGCCGAGTGCGTTGGGAAGCCTGGGGAGGTGCATGCTACCCCAACCAGATTTGCATCCATGACTGCCGGTGGGGAGGAGCTGGCCTGTCACATCAGGAAGCCTTTCTCTAATGTGGGGATGACGAGCTTGTGTTTGGGAAACTACAGCCACAGAGCCACCCCACAACGGTTGCCACCAGCTGTCCTCTTACCTGCTTTATCACGTGCTTCACTTTGGTTTCTGTTTCCTCCACCACCAGGTTCACCCCCAAGGCCCCAGGATTCAGCTGGTGCAAAACCTACCAGGAAAAGGCAGGCTTTCAGGAAAGACATAGCTACTCGCTTTCCAAAGAGCGCCCAACTCCAATGCCTTTTCTGGTCCTTCTAACTTCCCATCAGGCTGGCAGAGCAAATGTCTCCTCACCATTTTGCAGTAGAGGAAATGGCCCAAGAAGACTGAGAAGCCCTTCAATGGTGGAACCAACCCCATCTCTTTGGGGCCAATTCTGGAGTTCTTTCTACAGCCCAATGCCGCTTTCCCAGCCTGCAGCGAGGGCCAGCGAGGGATCCATGAGCAGCACTTCCCTGGGGCAAAGGCTGTATGCACTCTCTGTAGACCCCTCCAATTCCACCTTCTAGTATCCACCTCCAAACTTTGCATCCAAACAAGAAAGTAACCGGTCCTGTGATTGGTGCCATCACAGTCACAGCCATTTGGTGCCAAGCACTTTACAACCACCCTGTGCAGTCGGCACTGTTGCTATCTCCACGTTTACAGTGGAGGAAACTGAGGCAAAGGGAGCTAGGCCCTTGCCTGAAGCTATGGCACAAGTCAGCCAGACCGCCTGGGTTGGATTAGAACTCCTGGGTCTGACTCCAGAACCTGTGCGGAGGCCAACGGCAAAGGGGTGGGGGTGCGGGGGTGATGGGATTGCTGGGTGCCAAGACATTTTCCAGAGGGTGGGGCCTGAGAACAGGGCTGGTGTAAGACTCAGGCCTAGGCCCTGTTGGGCAGCAAATAAAATGCACCCGTATCTCAGAGCAAGTCTTTTTTTTTTTTCCTAAAAAGTAACTTTACTTTAAAAATTCTCTGGCCACCAGAAACTCATCTGCTTTATCACTGGCTACCTCCCTGTGGCCCTCCCAAAGAGAATTCTCCCCAAGTGAGGAAAACCTACACATGGTTCTCAGATTAATGAAATTTTTGCAAATACTGAATCTAACATTCAATAAAGTTCACATATGTATAGAAGCGTTTAATTAAACATTCATTTTTTTCTGCAGCTTTCCTTTTGTGTTTCGTGAATTTTTCAGGGGTCTACCATTTTCACGGACCCAGGCTGAAGGGGTGCTTTTAGGGGACTGGGGGCCCCTGACTGTGTAGTCTGGATGCTCCGGGTGTCCTCCCGTCTCCGTGGACCACGCACACGGCCCCGCGGGCGAGGAGGACGGACGAGCTCCTGTCACTCAGGGCTGGACAGCCGAATAAAGATCACCTTTGGGGGTGGCCGGGTCAGCCCGCGAGCTGGAGGCTGACAGAGGCCCCCTGTGACCGTCATCCCCGCAGGGCGCCGGGTGTTCCCAGGCTCCCCCCGCCTCCCGCAGGCACCACTCGGCACCTGGTACTTTTCCATAGTATCTCCAGGGACGACGCCCGGCCTGGCTCTCCCTCCGCCGGGCACCTGCGGTCTGACCCCCGACGGAGCACGCTCAGTGGCGACCGCGTCCGGGGAGCACGTCCCGCCCGGTCCCCTTCACCCGGGGACGAACGTGCGGTCCCCGACCACCCTCAGCCCAGCGTCTCTGCTTATAGATTTTTAGACTTTTAAAGCTGGAAAGAATCTTAGCAACCATTGATCCACCTGCTGTCCACTTAGTAGGAGGATAGCAGAGACCCCCAGCAAAGTAACCAGGCTTGTCTGTGGTCATGCAGTACACCGGCTGGTTGGCATCAGGGCAAGACGAGAACACAGAACCTCAGTTGCAGCCTGTACTTCATCTTCCATGCCCAGCTGATTGATTCTCTGGGTGTCTGCTGTCACTCTGATGTCTGCCATCACTTCAGTGGGGGTCAAGGCTGAGTAAGTGTGCGTGGAATTGACACTGTGGGCCGCCTGGTTTTGCGACCTCTTCCTGCTCTCCCCGCCGCACGTGGAGCATCTGCGGGGCTGCCCAGCCAGGCTCCCCTTGACAGGCCACAGGTTCATCTGAACACCCAGGCATTCATTAACTGACTCTGGCAGCTTCAGTAGTGTCTAAAAACTTTTTCAGATGTTGAAAATTAAGAAACACTCTTATAAATATATCTTCATTTTTTCCAACACTAGGTTTAACCAGCCCTCAGAGGCCTGTCGTATAACTTCGTATAATGTATGCTATACGAAGTTATTACGCGCCCCTCCCGCGGCGTGCGGGGCTGTCTGGGCGGGCGCCCCCGCGCGGCCCGGCCGGGGTCCCGGGAGGGGCGCTGCGGGGTGTGGGGCCGTCGGCCGGTCTGGCTCACGGTGGGGCAGCGGTCTCTCCACTGGGAACTGCGGGGCGGCACCCTTAGGAGGCGGCGTGGGCAGCTCCGACCCCGAGCAGGAGCAGGGGGCACCTGGAGAGCCCCCGACCCCAGGACGCCAACGGCCCCGTCTTCCTGTTCTCCCCAGGTGTGCCGGACTCTTGGGGTCCCTCTGGCCCTTTGCGTACCTCTCCCTCCCCGGCTGGACTCTGCCCTGGGCTGGAGTGGACGGGTGTCTGTACACAGACCCGGGAGGAGGGGAGGCCTCGCGCCCTGTCTCCTTTTCCCTTCCAGAGTGTACAGGTGGCGTTCTGGGCAACAGGGAAGCCCTCCGAACAGGCGGTTGAGTGATGGTTAAAAGCTTCCCAGAGCTGGGTGGACAGGACCAGGTCCTGGAGCACTAAAGGGACGGAGCTTCCTTCCCACCTTCGTTTTTGATTGAGCTTGGCAAAGAGATGATGGGGGTGACTGCTTAGGGGTTTGCCTTCCAGAAGTATCCCTCATGTTTACCAGTGAGCAGCCGCATCCCTGCAGGCAGATCCCTTCCTGGCCCACCTGCCACTCATTCCTTGGTTCACTTAGTGTTTGTGGCTTTGCCAGAGTTATAAGTAGTGATGGTTACGTTTTTAATTTTTATGGGGATGGTAATTGAGTAATCAAACTCTGAGGCCTAGACTTATTGGAAGGTGTGTGTGGGGGGGGGGGGGTTTAAAAAAAAATGAGTGAGCATCTTCTGGTCCGTTGTCGGGGAGCGAGCTCCCCATCGCTGCGCTCAAGGGGGTGACTCTAGTGTATCCTCACCCTTGGGTTCTGGCGCTAGTTTCCTGTGAACTGATATTTTAAAACCAGTTCGGAGGGCAAAGTATATCAACTTGAAGAAATAGTTTTTACTAAGGTCTTGATTTTATTTTTAAAGACAACTAAAAATTGTATCCCTTGCAAAAACAATTTATATTGGAAGCTCTCAAGAATCAGGTTGGCCTTTTTCATTTATAAGTTTTCATTGACATAATTCTTAGTGACCCAGTTTTATTTCCCAAGTAGCAACTCCCTTAAGAAGATGGCTCCCTGTAGCCGAGGGAGGTGTGAGGGCTGTATCCACTCGCTCTTCTGTCTAGAAAACCCTGGTTTTGCAAGTGAATTTCCTAACCAAATCTAGATAAAATGTCTTCAGTCAAGCTGCCACCAACTATCAAATGATAGACTCTCCTGGAAAAAAAAAGTTCAGAATTTCTTTACATAATCCTTTCTTCTTTTTCTCCACTTTTTGTTTTGTTTTAAATGAAAGACGCAGAATCTACTGGAAAGGCCTTGAGGGGAAAGCAAGTCCTGCTCAGGCTCCTGAACGTGCCTGCGGCCACAGCCCTGGAGGAAAAGCCAGGGTAGGGCCCTGTACAGCATGCTGCAGGTGCCTGGTGTTCCTCTTCTGGCACAAATCAAGGGGAAAGGGCATGCTGCATAAAAACCAAGGTGGATGCAGGCTGTGTCTGTCCCACAGTGCAGGCTCTTTTGTCAGTTGATGAGTGTTGGAGTCCACCTGGGTGGTGACAGTGTGGCAGCAGGGTGGCTCAAGAGGGCAGCAACTCCCGTGCTCTTCAGAACTAAAGTCAGGACCCTCTTCTGCCATAGGCAGGCGTGGCACAGGAGGACATGGGCAGGTAACAGTGCACAAAGTCAAATGCAACTTCCCGTGCGCAAGATCTGACTTAAGTCGGGGTGGCACTTTTGTCTTTAACATTTATCCACATAGTATTTAAAACAAAGCTGCCAATAATGAAGGTGCTGAGAGTCCAGGTTGTTAAAACAAAAATCATCTAATTTGAAGACAGTGGGGAATCATCATCAAAACCACTGATCGGGTAATGTGACACACCCATTTTTTCTAACCTTGTCTTTAAAAAACAAAAGCAAAAATGTAGTGACAGGATTTGACCAGAAAGCTGGGCCTCAGAGTGAGGATTAAACGAGCTTTGTCCCCAGGCCCAAGAGTCCTCGCATAGTTATGACAGCAGTATGGAACCTTTAACCAGGCCAGGCCATTGCGCTCCACCTTCAGGTGAGCAGAGGGAGGTGTGCCACGGTCTGCACTGGGTCGCAGTGAGGTTGGAGTTTGAATCCTCATCTCGTTACCCAAAGGCTGGGTTCCTCACTGCCTGGCGGTGCTGTGACCTTTCCTTCTGGCCTGCAGGGACTGGTCTGTGGGGAGAAGTGGGCTGGCTCGTTTCTGTTGGCAGGCTTCTCCTGAGCCGCATCTCTTGTCTCTCTGCCTCTGGCATCAAGTACCTTGGGTTGGCCTTGGCAGCCACGGACAGTGTCCTCTTGCTCCCAGGAAGCCAGGCCGTGGAGAAACTGCTGAGACGTGCTCTATGCAGGAGCTGGGCATTTGGAAGCCACCAGAAACTCTAATGCACTCAGCAGTCCAAAATATTTGTTCCCTGCAGCTGCTATTCATTGCCTGTTAGACAATCTGCATAATGTAGTTTCCAAGCACATTTATACCAATAAACAGGAATATTAGCACTTAATGGATTTGCACAATGGCTCATTCCAGAGTGACAGAAAAGCTGCATGGGGACTTAGTCTCCAGTGTGGCCATTGGTATGTGTACCTGTCCTTATGGGTGGCAGAGCTAGTCCTGTGAACTAGGAGCTGGCCTTGGCCTTTGCTGAAGCTTTGGGTAGCAAGGATAGTCCTGACAACACCTGCACCCCACATGTAGCACATGGGCGGTAGTAGGCTCCTGGTTTGCATTGTGTAGCTTGCCATCTGGTGTGGGTAGGGTTCTGGCGACAGCTGTGGGCTCTCTGAGCCTTTCCCTCTTGTTCCTGTGCCGTAAAGGGGTGCAGAGTGGAGGGAGAGAGGAGAGGCTTGCTCTCAGCTCACCGACTTTAGCAGGAGGTTAAAAAACAGCCCCCCTGGGGGAGTGGGGTAGAGGAGCAGGGGAGACTGTGGTTAGCGGGCTGCTCCCGGAAGATGACGCATGGTCCTTTCCCCTCCGCGGGGGCCTCTGTCTGCCTTTCCTCCAGTCAGGCTTTTTATCTCACAGAGTTTTAGTCAAGGAAGCCACGCTGTCCCCTCCAGCTTAGGTCCAGGTGACAACTTCTGCACCACGGGGTGCAGCAGGAACCCACAGAGCAGCACTCGGGGACACTTGCTGGGAAGGCGTGGTGTCACCGGGCTCTGGCGCCAGCCCTGGCCCAGCCTGATGTGGGTAAGTGACTCTGCTACAGGCTCCTGTGTTCTAGGGCGTGTGGCCTTCATCTGGCCGGGAAGTAGGGCAGCCCCAGCCATTGGCGAACAGGGAAGCCTGAGCCGCCGTCTTTCTCAGAGCCATTGTAGAGCAGGACCTGCGTGCGCTGTCCTCAGCTCCTTTCCATCCTAGACACAGAGGTCGGTTTCTCTGTGTCATGCTGCCGGCGCCGGTGCGGTAACGATCACTGTATTTCCGCAGAGTCAGGTCTCAGGCTGGGTGTAATTACAATTCTAAAATCCCCCTCAGCCCTCTGAATAGTAACGCCTTTTAGATAAATCTCAGCTCCCCATGTTTCTTAAGTTGCTTGGACACTATTGCCGCTCATGAGCCCTCCCCTGCTTGACTGTGAGCTTCCTGAGGAGATGCCTGCCCATGGGCTGAACCGCTGTGTCGCCTCCTCTTCTCGTGAGCTCTCAGGTCACTGTCCACTTCGGCTCTCCTGTCACAGTTCTCTCACAAGGGTGACATTTTCACAGTGCGCACACGGCTGCGCCACTGTGTGGCGGACGCCTGCAGGGGCTGTTGTCAGCTTGCAGTGCTGCCTGTCCTGCTGGAGTCAGGCTCTTCCCTGCTGTGCTGAGGGGACACTGGTTTGGGGACGCTTTCAAGAGTGGCATGACATGGGTCCAGTGGCCGTCTGGACAGTTGTGACCAACATGTGTGTAGGGAATAAGGTAAAAATTGGGTCTGGTCTTGTTACTAAATGTGGCTTTTTCCTCCGTGTTCATTCCAAACATGCTTATTAGAGGGTGGCTGGTTTAGAAGAGGCTTTGCATCAGCCTGACTTACAAAACCACCTTGAATCGAGACCATGCTTGCCTTTGAAAATCAGAGCTGCCAAGCAATCGATATGCTCAGTTCAGAGCATAGTATGTGCATTTTGCCCTCTTTTACCCAAAGCGAAGAGTGGTTCTGTCTCCTTGCTGTGTTTGCGCAGGGAAGGGAGGTGCGAGTTGGCTATCCCTCCACCACTCTCCTTTTTGCTCTTTAATTCTCTTGACCCAGACGCTCAAATTAAAAGTAGCAGACTGATCCTCATCGGTATAGTGGGTAGGGGGAAAAAGAGAAGAAAAAGTAGCAGACTCATCAAGGAGGCTTGTGAACTCTGTCTCAGCCTCGTGGGCTGTGCTCACAGCAAATGAGCCTGTTAAAGGAGGGCCCTTGGCTTGGGGTGGGTGGGACCGCAGCCTGAGGGCCAAGGCTTGTCACTTCTTTCTGGTAAGCACGGCACACATCAGCAAGAGGGGCACCGCTCTCATTTTGTTTTTATTTATTTATTTTTTATTTTTTTAAATTTTTTACGGGCCGAGCCCGTGGCACACTTGAGAGAGTGCGGCGCTGGGAGCACAGCAGCACTCCCGCTGCGGGTTCGGATCCTATATAGGGATGACCCGGTGCGCTCACAGCGCTCACTGGCTGAGCGCGGTGCCGTCAGTCTGAAAAAGGACAAAAAAATATATTTTTTTTTTACAAAAGATGACCGGTAAGGGGATTGTAACCCTTGACTTGGTGTTGTCAGCACCACGCTCTCCCAGTGAGCTAACCGGTCATACCTATATAGGGATCCGAACCCGTGGCCTAGGTGTTGTCAGCACCACACTCCCAAGTGAGCCACGGGCCGGCCCCTCACCACTCTCATTTTGGAAGCAAGTCGGCACCGCTCATAACCTGCCTCTCTGCTGCCCTTAGTGTCCACACCTCCCCTCTTGGGAGTCCTGCCATGGCGCCATCTCTTTGAGAGGTCTGCTCAGCTCTTGTTGAACTCTTCCTTGCTAGCGGTTGCTTTTCCCCAGGTTTAGACGAGGTGAGGGCCTGTGTCAGTGCCAGGCTTCTTAGCTGGACCACGATGAAAGGTCATTACATAAGAGCCATGCTAAACTGGGAGCGGGGTGGTATTCTGTTCTCTCTCCCATATAATATGGGTGATTACACCGTTGCTGGGCATTTCAAAAGCATCAGGGCCATCATGCAGGACCTGGGAGAGTGTGTGGCACCACCTGTCCCAGCCCCTCCTGATTTGATGTGAGCATGTTTATGTTATGCCACATGGGCATCTTGTGTTCATCCTCTGAATGGGCTCAAAAACTCAAACAGGAGTATTGGGACCTCTGCTTTTCTTTCCTTCTTTCTTTTTTTTTGCAAGAGCTCTGAGACCTCTTATTTTTAAAACAAGGTCTTTCTCCCTGCCTTGTGTCCTCTGCTTATAGATTTTTAGACTTTTAAAGCTGGAAAGAATCTTAGCAACCATTGATCCACCTGCTGTCCACTTAGTAGGAGGATAGCAGAGACCCCCAGCAAAGTAACCAGGCTTGTGTGTGGTCATGCAGTACACCGGCTGGTTGGCATCAGGGCAAGACGAGAACACAGAACCTCAGTTGCAGCCTGTACTTCATCTTCCATGCCCAGCTGATTGATTCTCTGGGTGTCTGCTGTCACTCTGATGTCTGCCATCACTTCAGTGGGGGTCAAGGCTGAGTAAGTGTGCGTGGAATTGACACTGTGGGCCGCCTGGTTTTGCGACCTCTTCCTGCTCTCCCCGCCGCACGTGGAGCATCTGCGGGGCTGCCCAGCCAGGCTCCCCTTGACAGGCCACAGGTTCATCTGAACACCCAGGCATTCATTAACTGACTCTGGCAGCTTCAGTAGTGTCTAAAAACTTTTTCAGATGTTGAAAATTAAGAAACACTCTTATAAATATATCTTCATTTTTTCCAACACTAGGTTTAACCAGCCCTCAGAGGCCTGTGAGCTGACATTCACTCGACTGTCCTGGTGAGGGGTCCAACTCACCTGTGCCCTTTAGACTCTCACTGACATGTCATCCTGTGGGTGGGTCCCCTGTTCTTTCCCCTGAAGACCTCCCGTGTTATCATAGATTTCTTTCAATTTGTTTTGAACGGGTGCAGGAGAAAAGTGCCTGGGTAGACCTGTGTGACATTTGCACCTGGCCTTCCACAGTGCACAGGGGTGTCCTAATCAAGCCATCATAAATGGCATAACTCACAAAGGACAGAAGGAAGTTATAAATGTGTCATTCCCTGTGACGTTTGCCAATGATTTTGCACACCTGCATTTCATCGCTGTTGAAGCCACCATCTATCCCATTTGTTAGTGTGTTGTTTTTTTTAAATTTATTTATTAATTAATTTTTTAAAAAGATGACCAGTAAGGGGATCTTAACCTTTGACTTGGTGTTGTCAGCACTACGCTCTCCCAAGTGAGCTAACTGGCCATCAGTGTACAGGGATCTGAACCCGCGGCCTTGGTGTTACCAGCACCACAGTCTCCCAAGTGAGCCACGGGCCGGCCCTTGTTAGTGTGTTTTTAATTTGCTTTGGGTTACATGGGTTTTAAAAAAAAAAATCCCAGATCCTTCTAGCCATCAGCCACAGCAGTTTCACATTGTACTCACAGTTGGGGCACACACACTTGCCCAAGCTGGACCTTGAGCTTTCCAGAGGGGAGCTTTGTCTGGGCTGGGAATGCCGGCTGCAATCTGTAACGGCATGCACGTGCTCTCCAGAGCCCAGGGTGTCCTCCTGCTGCTCTGGAGATTTTGAATAACTATATACATGTGACCTTCCTGTTGGGTTGATCGTGTGGCCCTGTAGGACTGGGACTCTGGCTGTCACCTAAGTGGACCTTTGTTCTGTCTGGAGGAGTTTCCAGCATGGCTGAGGAGACTGGAAGGTCAAGCCTCAGTATTGCACATCAGTTCAGCACGGCCGGGCGAACCTTCTCCCCTCTGGGCTTAGTGTGCTCCTTTGTAACCTGAGGGGATGCACTAGAGCCATAGGGAGATGTGGCAATGGTGGGAAGCATTTTGTTGCCACAGTGTGGTGGGGGATCTGTTAATAGCATCTCGTGGTAGAAGCCAGGGATGCTGCTAAACTTCCTGCCGTGCACGGGACAGCCCCACAGTAGAGAATGGCCCAGCCCAGGTGCTGGCAGTGCCAGTGGGAGAAACCCTGGACCAGGCAGTCTCTGAGGCTTTTCAGATGTGTCACTCTAACTTGCTAATGCCCTTGCCTGAAGACAGAAGCTGTGTAACTTGTGGCATTTCCACCTTTGATGACAGTGGCTGCCACCTAGGTGAGGCCTGCCGAGGTGATGGGGAAAGTCATAGCAGAAGAGTGTCAGGGCCGTTGCCCTGTGGAGTCTGTGCAGATTGGCCCAGTGCCGAGTCATTCATCTCTGGGACTGATGCTTGGGTTGTCGTGTGTGTCCAGCCCTACAGGATAGTGCTTGGGAGCAGGTGCAGAGTCCCCAGGTCTCTCCTGGGGAGGCTGTGGGGCTGACAGGAGCTCTTATCTTCTGCAGTTTCTGCTTGTCTTTACTGCCTTGCTACCCAGGCACCCACTGCCCAAGCCTGGCTGTGGTCCGGCGTTCCCCATGACAGCCGCCTCACCCTTGGGTTTCTGTGGCCCTGCAGTTCCTCCGAGTCACAAAGCAGTACCTCCCCCACGTGGCACGCCTCTGCCTGATCAGCACCTTCTTGGAGGATGGCATCCGCATGTGGCTCCAGTGGAGCGAGCAGCGTGACTACATCGACACCACTTGGAGCTGCGGCTACCTGCTGGCCTCCTCCTTCGTGTTCCTCAACTTGCTGGGACAGCTGAGTGAGTGGCTCTGCAGGGAGGGGAAGTTGCATCAGGGCTTCCTGCTCTGTGCTCATTAGCGAATGGGAGACAGTAGTGTGTTCTCCCTCATCCCTCCTCTCCAGTGCAGGTGTGCCAGGCCAGAGAGTTCAGTTCTGTGAGCATTTGGCTGGATGCTCTGACTCTAGGCCTGGGCCCATTGCTTTGGGGCTTGCTAAAGAAATGTCACCTAGTCTCTGTTAAGTGCCCAAAGCAGGAGACACTGGAGACTGGTGTGGGTGGACCAAAGAGATCCTAAGGCAATCAAAGGCCAGGGTGTCTAGAAAGGAGAAATAGGATTTAGGTAAATGGAGAAGGGAGAGCATTAGGCCAGAATGAAGTTCATGTTGGCTTCAGACTATTAGTCTGCTCTTGACAGGCTGTCCCTCCCTCCTTTGTACACTATGGGGCTAGAAAGGGACTCACACTTCCCACCTACCCGGAGCCCTCTGGAGTGGAGCAGTTAATTGCCTGCTCCAGTGGACAGCTAACACTGGGAAATGGCCCCTTCCTTTTTTTTCTGGCTGTCCAGTACAAAGATCCAAATCCACGACCTTAGTATTATAAGGCTGCAGTCTAACCAACTGAGCTAACTGGCCAGTCCCATTCTTTATTATAGCAAGGGATCCACTTTCTAGACTAGTGTTTTTGATAAGTAAAGTCCAATTAACTTGTTGTGTATGGTCCTTGCCTATCATTAATTCTCCCAGAAGTTGCTTTTTGCGTGGGTTGGTAGTTTGGCTGCAGCTGGACCAGAGGGCCAGGTGGGGTGGCAGTGCACTGCAACACTGCCTCCTTGCCCGGGACCTACCTGCAGTTTCCCTGACTCTTGCCCTTCTCCTTTCCAGCTGGCTGTATCCTGGTGTTGAGCAGAAACTTCGTACAATACGCCTGCTTTGGGCTGTTTGGAATCATAGCACTGCAGGTACATGGGGCACAGGGTGGCGGCTCACTATGAAGTTCACAGCACTGCAGGAGCTTGACTGTGGAGTCAAGGCACTGTAGGCGCATGGGTGTGGGGGCGGGGCTCACTGTGGAGTCACAGCGCTGCAGGAGCATGGGTGCAGGGTGGGGACTCACTTTTTGCTCTGGTGGAGCAGAGCTTCTGAAAAGGCATCCTGAGGGTTAAGCGTCACTCCCTTTCAGCCCTCTGCATGTCTCTGATGGCCTGGAACGCCTTTTCTCTTCTGGGGAAATTGCTAGATTTTCCTCATTGCATGCTCAGGAGAACCAGACAGCCAGGCAGGGCTGTAGAGGTTGTCCCCCCCAGGAGGTGCTGGCTTTGGAAACTGGGCATCTTTTGCCACTTTCCTGAGATTCCTGTGGCAAAGGATCAACCCTGAGGATAGCTGCAGCCAAGACACCATCTTGTTATCATTCTACCTCATAAAAAGGACACTTAGCTGTTCAGAGCGAATTGCTCAGAACATAATGCTAATCCAGATCGGTGGCCTCAGAACCACCATGGTCTTCAGAAGGTCACGGGCACAGCTCTGATGATTAAACGGTGCTTGCTGAACAGATCCGGGGCCACCACCACACTCTGAGAACTACCCAGCCAGATATTTCAACTTGGATCTGTCCTCGGTGACCTAAAATGGCTTCGTGTATTTTATATTCTCACATTGGAAAAACTGCCTCATGCTGTTATAATCCTGTAGAAATTTGTTAGAAAATGCTGAGACTCAGGTCCTCTCTCTCTCTTTGCTCCCCTCAGACGATTGCCTACAGCATTCTGTGGGACTTGAAGTTTCTGATGAGGTATGTGTGCGGGATGGCAAGTTAGCGTGCTCCTCATCTCTCTAAACTCAGTGTCTGTGGGCTGGGGAAAGCTTTGGGTCTGAACTGGACCTCTGAGAAACAGATTCTACAGTGGACACGGCAAAGCCTTTCCCCTACCCAGAGCCCCTGGAAAAGTGGAGAGAATCATCTCCTCTGACCCCTTATTTCACAGTGTGGGGACTGAGGGACACTTGCTCACAGGGACCCAGCAGGGAGGCCAAGACTAGGACTTCGTTCCACATGTGTTCGGGTAGCCTGTCACTGCCTAGTTACATGAGATTTTACATTGGTTTAACTCCAGAGCCAGTGGTCCTGCGCACTCTTGCCTGCCTGGCCCTGCTCAGCAGACGACCCAGGGTGGAGAGAGGGCAGCAAGGGCCCTTCCCGCACTCATGCCAGGACCTCCTTCCATCAGGCCGATGCTCAGACCAGGTGCCTGACGAGCTTTTGCTCTGGCGGCGTTTCTATTCCTCAGGAACCTGGCCCTGGGAGGCGGCTTGTTGTTGCTCTTGGCGGAGTCCCGCTCCGAAGGGAAGAGCATGTTTGCGGGCGTCCCCACCATGCGCGAGAGCTCCCCCAAACAGTACATGCAGCTCGGAGGCAGGGTCTTGCTGGTTCTGATGTTCATGACCCTCCTGCACTTTGACGCCAGCTTCTTCTCTGTAAGTATTCCTGCTTGCTTAAATGGGTCTGGTTTCCTGCCCTTCTAGAAAGTGCTGCCCCTCCCCTTCCCTGCCTGCTCTTGCCTGGTTGTGTGCTGGGCGTAGCCCAGGAGAGCCACTGGAGTTAGCTGAAAGGAAGCAACCTTCTTGATCCCACTAAAACAGACAAAAACCTGTCAATTTCTTGTGTGCCAAGAAACTGCCTTTCCAGCTGATCGTCTGGAGTCTCCCTGACCTCACTGGAGGATCCTGGTGCCTGCCCATGCATGCACCCTCCAGGCTGTGGGCCAGGATCTATGCAGGCTCCTCTCACTTTTCTTTCCTTTGTCGCTGTTCATGCCCTCGCCAAGTACTTTTCACATGGTATGCCAGGTGTCAGGGGCAGGGTCCTCCAGGAGCTCACAGAGCACAACTCTAGAACTGGCCGAGGGCCCTGGGCAGACAAGGTGCCCAGGAAGGGCTCCTGGCACTGTGGGGAGAGAAGAGAGTGCTTCTGCTGGGATGGCTGGGCAGTTAAAAAGACTTGGGGGTCTGGTCATAGAGATGCACCGGACCAGTACTGGAGCTTGTCTTGGCAAATCTGTCTGTTGCTGATTGGAGACTTTTTTCGTCTTCCCCAGATCTCACTCTTCCAAGTAGCTGCTTTATTTCCTGCTTCCGCCCCCCATCCCCCCACCCCTCACTTTTGCTGGCCAGTAAAAGGATCCGAGACCCGAACCCTTGACCCTGGTGTTATGACATCCTGCTCTAACCGACTGAGCAGCCAGTGCTGGCCAGTAAAAGGATCCGAGACCCGAACCCTTGACCCTGGTGTTATGACATCCTGCTCTAACCGACTGAGCAGCCAGCCAGCCCTTAGCTTTCTCTGCCCACTTGTAATGCTTGGTTTTTCAGCTGCCATCTCTTAGCAGTAGTTACATCAACCTGGCACAGATACTTCAATGACACAGGGCAGCTGGAACTTCTTTTTTTATAAAACACATCTTTCCTCCCCACGTTTATTTTGAATTTCTTCTCTCTCAATCTGTGCAGGTTGTCCAGAACATTGTGGGCACAGCTCTGATGATTTTGGTGGCCATTGGTTTTAAAACCAAGCTGGCTGCTTTGACTCTTGTCGTCTGGCTGTTTGCCATCAACGTGTACTTCAATGCCTTCTGGACCATTCCAGTCTACAAGCCCATGCATGACTTCCTGAAATACGACTTCTTCCAGACCATGTCAGTGATCGGAGGTTTGCTTCTGGTGGTGGCCCTGGGCCCTGGGGGTGTCTCCATGGACGAGAAGAAGAAGGAGTGGTAACAGCAGCAGCCCTGCCCTACCCGGCCAAGAGCCGTGGCTGCGGAGGACCGGCTCAGGGTGGGTCCAACAAAACTGCCAGCATTTCTGTATCCTCTCCTTCCCCTCCCCTGGCAAAGGCACAGATGTTTTGAGAACTTTATTTGCAAAGGCACCTGAAAATTGATGGCTAAATCAGCTCTGGAACCACAATCTGGTATCCAGCTATTCCATGCTGGCCTGCCTAGAGGTGAGCAGCCTCCCCACGCCAAGGTGTTTGGAGTGAACAGCCTGGTCGATTGTGGCCTCTCAGTCCTATTTTGGGGGGGATAGCGGGGAGTGAGCCTTCAAGCTGTACTGTGAGCAGACACATTTGTATTTCATTCAAAGCAGTCTCCCTCTTATTTTTTATGATTTTAGTTCAAACTACTAAATGATTTTGGATGACCCGAACATCACAGTTAAACTCCATTTTAAAATGGTACCCATGGCTTCAACATCGTTTCTGCCTGTGCATTGTAGTACTTTATAGGAACGGTGAAAACATTTAGAGAAACCCAGAACCCAAAGACTGACACAGTATTAGAAGATGACTAAAGCTGCTCTTTATGGTAAAGGTCATTAAGCAGAAAATCCGCTGGGATTGGAGCAAAGGTTTTTTAATTGGGAAATGCCCTGGGAGCTGTATTTCCTCAAGGTAGGGACTGAAGGGCTATTGGCCCTCAGAGAGCTCCCAGCCACCCAGAGCATGGCAGAGGTAGTGCTGGCGAGGACACCACTCGCAGGACAGGCCTGGCCACCCTGGGCAGAGCAGCGACAGGACATGCTGTCAGCCCAGTTACCTCACACTTGACCTTTCCACAGAGCACGGTCTGGACCACAAGCCTCCACTTGCCCACGTACCCCATGCTGCGCTCACCGTCGGGCAGCCCCTCCCCACTTCCCTGAGGCTGCTGCTCAGATTTTGTCAGTTTGCTATGCTGAATGCAGCCAAAATTACTTTTTACAGTTTGTGATGCCTTACGGATGTGATCTTAATCCTGTATTTAAAGTTTTCTAACACTGCCTTATCCTATGTTTCTTTTTGCGGGGAAGGGGGATCCAGTTATTGCTGCTGTTCTGCTCATCTGCAAGGTAGTGAATGCCACAGGGGCCATCAGAACACCTCTCTCTGGGCCCAGATGCTGCTGGGGACAGACTGGACCAGGCTGGATACACAGCATGATCCCCTGAGGGGAGGCAGCAGTGCACCCCACACTTGGAGTGAGGGCTTTCTTGGGGTCCATCCTCCCTGGCACGGTCAGCTGGGTTGTGCGGGACTGAGGTCTGTCCCTGGGGCTGCAGAAGGTCAGTCTTGACCCAGTTTCCATGCTCACCTTCCCCACAAGGAGGGGTGAGGCCCGCTTCCCAGTGCTCTGGGAAGCCTCCCCCTGCAGCCTGGACCCACCTGCCCCAAGGGGAGTGTCAGTGCACCTTTCAGCACCCATCTCACGTCCCAAGGCATTTTTACATCCTCCCCTAGTGTTTATAAGCATGGCTTCAAGACACAGGGTTCTTTCCTCCTTGAGATCACTCAGACAGACGCTCACTACATAAAGGGCAGTTTTTAACATCACCTCAGTGGGGCTGTCTCTTAGCCCACACTTGCCCCCATTAACACAGTCAATGACAAATGACACTCGGCCAAGTCAGTTTCTCTGTGGCCACTGTTGCTGGTTTGTGGAAAGTGGGGTTGATCGCACGAGACTAAGTGCATAGTTCACACCAGTTCTCTAAAAGCGGCAGCCTCGATCCTAGTGGTCATTCCTGTCCCCTCTGGCTCTGAGTGGACTAGTGCTCGGGACAGCAGGAGATGCCTTTGCTGGGAGGAGAGGAAAATTAGGATATACCAGTTGGTTTATGGCAAAACAATTTCCAAAAAAATTTTTCGCTTTATTTGAGAAATAGGTATAAATCTCATTTTATGCTGTACCTTATACCTTAGTTGTCTTGAAAACGTTTTGATTTTTGGAAACACATCAAAATAAACAGTGGCATTGGTTGTATGCAGTGTGCTCCTGTGGTGCTGCCCCGCCTGGGCAGGGGTCTGGCCAGGCTCTCCTCAGGATGCTGCAGTGAGTTCAGCTGCTCCTTTAGGCTTTGCTGGAGGCTCCTCAGAAGCCCCATCCAGAGAGAACTCTTCTCTCGGAGTCCCTGCTGCTTCCTGGGTGTGGGGGACAGGACCCCGCTGTATGAACAGATCCTCTCGGCCCTGTCTTAGGGGGTAGCAAGTGTCCTGAGACAAGAATGAGTGGGTGGAGAAGACACCAGGGACACCCCACAGTTCGGAGGACACATGGCAGCCCAAAGAAGAACAGAGGGAAACACCTGAAGGCTTTTTTGAAGGTTTCCAAGACGTGCTTTCTCAGACATCTTTTATTAACCTGACTGTTTGAAAGAACTGAAACTTTTAGGCTTGTGGTGATGACTCTTGAACTTCTTTTTCAACGAGCCCAACTGCTTCTGTGGCATAAACAGAGAATTCTGGTTACGGAGCCCTTCTGATCCCCCAGCTCCCGCACAGAGAAGGGTCTAGGTGGAAATGCCCACATCGGTGTCCCCACCCAGGGCTCCCTTTACAGCTGCTGGATGAGGCAGCGCTCCACAAGCAAGTGCCGCACGTCCCTTCTACCCCCAATCCTGCCTGTCCACCACAGGGGCAGGAATCTTCCTTCCTGCTCCAGTCACAAGGCACAAGTGGTGTCTAGTAATCAAGTCCCTTCCTCTGGGTTCCTGTGCTGCAGGAGCAAGGCCAAATAACCCACAGCTCGTACTGGGGGCTGGGGGCAGGCGTCCTCTCAGACCAGAGGTCTGGAGCCTGCTCTGTGGAGCCGACCGCGGCTTCTGTGAGGTACACGCTCCCCCCCACCCCCCCAAACACAGCAGCTTAGGCTCCCATTTTACTTACAAATTGTTAGCTTGGGATTTCATTTGCAAAACAAGTGGGTTTTTTTATAAGAAGAAACTGGAAACCATCGCTAGAGGAAGCCACACCACACCAGCAGTCTGAGGTGATGGCTCACCTCCCCACGCTTACGGACCAGCTCCCGGTCTGCTTTCATCTCCTTTCTGTCCCCAGCGCCCTTCTCTCTCTGGGGCCTTGGCTTCTTGTCCTCTTCGTCCATCAAAAAATCATCACTGCTGTCCCCTTTCTCAGTCCCTCCCAGCTGCTTGCTGGTGAATAGCTCAGCTGTAAAGAACAGAGGGATCTGGCTGAGGCTCATACCAGATAAATTTCACCCCCTTCTGTGCAGGGGAAGTAAGGGTGAGAGGGGCTGCCAGGGCCCAGGACTGTAGGAGAACATCCAGTGGGAGGGAGCGACACAGGCCAAAGCCAGCTCCCACTTACGTGGGTACAGGTCTGTCATGCTGTCATCGCTCAGGGCTCCCTCATCACTGGATGCGGGCTCCCAGAAGGCTTCTTTGGAGTAAGGCGGCCCATCGCTGTCCATCGGGTCTTCGCGCCGCCTCCTCCTGTGCAGCAGGCAGGCAGGGACGTACTCCACGCCTTGCTTCTGACATTCTTCATCTAGGAGACAAGCCAGCACACACCTGCTACTCTCCATGTCCCTCCCATAGTCCTCTGGTCACAGAGCTAACCTGTGGGGGCTGCGAACTGCTAGGGCCCCATACCCACCCTGCTGGATCAAAATCACAGCAGTGGTGGCAGGTAGACACCTCAGCTCAGTTCCCACCAGGCATGGAGGGAGGGGGGGGGGTTGGGCCGGGGCCGAGAGCCAAGAGGGTGGTACAAGTGTACTGGGCCTGGCCACCCATGGTAGATCCAGCCAGACTACAGGAAGTGGTGGCCAGGAGGGTGCTGAGCAGGCACAAAGGAAGCTATGCCCCAGGAAGGCTGGTACAGCCTCTCAAATGCAGCCAGGCCTAGAAGGCGGGGCTCAGTGGAAGCTGGCTGCTGACTCCTGTACCCCGTGGGGGGGGGGGGGGGTTGGGCCGGGGCCGAGAGCCAAGAGGGTGGTACAAGTGTACTGGGCCTGGCCACCCATGGTAGATCCAGCCAGACTACAGGAAGTGGTGGCCAGGAGGGTGCTGAGCAGGCACAAAGGAAGCTATGCCCCAGGAAGGCTGGTACAGCCTCTCAAATGCAGCCAGGCCTAGAAGGCGGGGCTCAGTGGAAGCTGGCTGCTGACTCCTGTACCCCGTGGCTTGGAGTGGGAAGGTGGGACAAGGCTTCCAAGGAAGGACCTCACTGGGTTCACCACCATCCCCTCACGTAGCAAGGGGAGCTGCTGGAGCTCACCAGTACAACACAGCTCCCTCCCAAGGGGGGACACTGGCTCCCACGGTCCCCCCAATTCTTGCCATCATGCCTCATGGGGTGGACAAGCCTGCTGGGCCCTGACTTCTGATGTCCACGGAGACACTAAGCCTCAGGCTGGCAGCCCTCATGCACAGGGCCAGCTCTCCTGCTTGAAAAACCTGTGTCCTGAATTCTCTGCCTTCCATGCTCATGCTCACTGGGGAGTGGACAAATCTGCCCCTGCCTAGGGCAGGATGGAGGTGGGTGTAGCTCCTTACAGGCTCCTGAGCCCACAGAGCCCTCTGTCTGCTCTCCCACCCTCCCTGAAGCCCCTTCACACCTCACGCGCTTTGGCCTCTGCCTGCTTTCCTCTACCTCCCTATATCTACACTCCAGAAAGTCCTCTCTGTCCAGGGCCAGGCTCTGTCCCCACCACACCTCAAGTGCTTTTGTCAAGGTCACCAGGGGCCTCCATGTTGTCAAATCTCACATCCTCACCCCCCTCCCCCTCCCTGGGGCTCCTTGGTGCTCGTGCGTGGCCCTCCCTTCTCTGTAAACTCTCACCTAATGCACCGCAAATTTAAAATTTTCATAGAAATTTTTAATTCTCATCCAAAAACCTGTTGTTCACACACACAGCTGTCTTTTTTTTGATGGCTGCTGGTAGGGGGATCCGAACCCTTGACCTTGGTGTCATCAGCCCCACACTCGCCCAGGTGAGCTAACCCACCAGCCCTGCTCTCCCATCCTAACGATACCATCCCCCCTGCTAGTTTTCGAGCCCAAAACTTGGACTCAGTAAACTTTTTCCTTCCTCTCCCTCACTCCCCTAATCTGATTCTATCCACGAAACAGGCAAAGCCTGTCCCCCTCTTTTCCTCTTCACCTGGATGACCGCAGCCAGATCCCTCCCAATCTGCTCTGACCACGCAAACTGTTCATGCCAGCCTCAGCCTTAACCCTCAGCGCCTCCCCTGCAGTGCTCCTGGCCATGGCCTCCAAGTCCCTCTGTGGTCTGGTCCAGCCCCGCCCTGCGCGCTGGCCCAGGCCGTCCTCAGAGCCTCCCGGCCCAGCGCCTTGCTGCCTGTCCTCCAGACCTGTTGCCTCTCACGTCGCTCACTGTTAGCCCCTGCCACTTATGGCAGCACGCAGCTACTTCTGCGCATGCTTCCGGCTCTGCACTGGAAGCTCCAACGGTCGGGGGCCATCGCCCCTCTCCTCGCTGTGCCAGGACCAGGCAAGGATGAAGAATGACCGAGGCACCCCTTCTGCCTTCAAGGGGCGCTCTCGTGCTGGGGGAGGGCAGGCATGCTCCGATAGAGGCCCCCGCAGAGACTCACATTTCCGCAGAGCTGTCTGGTACCGCCGACCCTGAGTATGCCGCAGCACGTGCTCTGGGGACTTGTTGATGTGCCGCAGCGTGAGTCTGCAGAACAACTGGTGCCTGCGGGGCAGGGAGACCTTGGTTTCAGGAGCACTTCACAGCAAGGACCCAGACCAGCTCTCCACCCTGGCTGCGGCTTAGAATCACCCCGGAGAGTCTAATGGGGATGGTCGAGGATGCGACCGAGCCTCGGGATTTCTAAAAGCTCCCAGGTAATCGCACTCTGCAGCTGGGCTGGCGAGCCGCCGACCGACATGGCCAGCCTCCCGGGGCCGCTGCAGGAGAACGTAGCCTGGCGAGGTGCTCGGGCCGCAGCATCCCGTCGCCACACTCTCGGCTGAATCAAGGACCCC